GATGAAGAAAAAGTAACTCCTCCCTGTTTTTGCCAAGATGCCTGCTATACTGGGCTTCCCCAGTTAGGGTATATGATCTTTCTTCTCTGCTCAATGTGCTATAGTTGCTATTTCCTTATTATCTTTCTAGAGTTGGGAGAATATGATTAATTAAACCTAATGACTATGAGTTTTCAGAGTGGTTCCATAGGAGCTTAGTGAACCTGCATTACAGGTAGAAAGTCAAGGAACAGCTATGAGGAAGATAATAGGGATGAATCTTTTTCGTTATCTCTTACCCCACCTCTCTCAACACCATTAATCCCCTTAATCTTCATAGTTAAGAAGAGAGTTGGATTTTCCTTCAATCCACTAGAAATGAGAACAGAGAACAATTGCTCCCTCCTACTACAACTGCCAACCCAAGGATTTCTGTACCGAGAAAAAGAAATAAGAAACAGGGCCAGGGCCAGTGGCTCATGCCTATAATCTCAGCACTTTGGGAGGCTGAGGTAGGAGGATCGCTTGAGCTCAGGAGTTCAAGATTAGGCTGGGCAACATGGCGAAACCCTGTCTTCACAGCAAATAGAAAAAATCAGCCAGGCATGGTGCCCCTGCCTCTAGTATCAGCTACTTACGGAGCTGAGGCAGGCAGATTGCTTGAGCCTGGGAGGTCAAGCCTGCAGTGAGCCAAGATTGTGCCACTGCACTCCAGCCTGGGTGAAAGAGCGAGAACCTGTCTCAAAAAAAATAAATAAATAAAATAAGAAACAGCTGCATTAGAGCATTACCTCTTCAAAAGCCTCCTTTCTCATCTCTGAGGCATTCTCTCTAACGAAAGGAAAAGTATATGTAAGACATAGTTAAAAAACAAAAAACAAAACAAAACCCAGAAGATCATTACCTTATTCTGTTACAGCCAAGCACTGTAGTTTGGGATCTTTAAAAAGTAAAAAAAATAAAAAAATAAATTAGTCTGGCTGGGCGCAGTGGCTCATGCCTATAATCCCGGCCACTTTGGGAGGCTGAGCAGGGAGGATTATGAGGTCAGGAGTTTGAGACCAGACTGGCCAACATGGTGAAATCCTGTCTCTATTAAAAAATACAACAATTAGCTGGGTGTGATGGCACACACCTGTAATCCTAGCTACTCAGGAAGCTGAGTTAGGAGAATTGCTTGAACCAGGGAGGCAGAGGTTGCAATGAGCTGAGATCCCGCCACTGCACTCCAGCCTGGGCGACAGAGCAAGACTCCAGCTCAGAAAATAAATACATAAATAAATAATAAATTAGTCCAATTTTTATTTAAATACGCATTCTGTGATCTGATTAATACTATAGAAGATATTTTTCAGTGTGCTATGAAGAAAGTTCAATTCAGCTTTGCTTCTATATAATTTTTATCATGGGGGATGAGATAGAGAAACTTTTAAAATTTCCTACAAATATTTTCAGGGCTGGTCAACCGAATACATAACCAAAAAACTATTAAAGTTTATTTACTTCACTAAAACAGAAGTCTCATTATCTCCTAAACTTCCTATTCTGTTATCTCCCACGCTAATAGTTTTTTCCCCTGAATCAACAGGACAGTTGAATAAAGGGATTTCTTACTGAATACATTTCTAAGATAAAATATTATTGTGAACATATTTTTACCATGTTCTTCAAGTACATCTTAAAATACTGGATATCCTATTTTATATTTTTTACATCGTTCAGATATACAATGTTGGAAAGCCAAAATAATTGAAAAATTATTTTCCTTTCTAAGTGGCTTTGAAAATAAGATGTTTATCCTTCAATAATCACTACTTGCTTATGAAAAATACAAAATTTTGACAACGTGCATCTGAAAAATTTCAACATTTAGCTGCAGTCTAGTTGGAAAGAAGTCAATATTGCAAGTATACCATACTACTTCCAGCAAAAAATTGTGGATAACATTTGAGCAGTTTCTAGTGCCAGGGACTTTATTTGATCTTCGTACTCACTCTATGAAGTAGGGAATTTATTTTAACAATAAGGACACTGAGGCTTTAAAGAGGCTAATTTATCCAGATTAATAGGCAGACAGAGGCAGAGACAGAATTCACACCCAGGTTTCACTGACTGCAAAGTCAGAAAGGCTGAGTTGTAATTTCATCTCCTATATGGAGAATATAAAATATCTGGAAGGATGTTAATAAAAATAATAACCTTTGTTACTTCTAGGTAGAGAGTCTCTAGTGATTTTTTTTTTTTTTTTTTTTTGAGACAGAGTCTCGCTCTGTCGCCAGGCTGCTGTACAGTGCCACAATCTCGGCCATTGCAACCTCCAACTCCCTGATTCAAGTGATCATCACGTCCAGCCTCTAGTGATTTTTTTTTTCTTTTTTACTTTCCTTTTCATCCTTTTACACACTATTTGGATTTCTTATAATGAGTAAAAATATTTTTTTTTCTGAAAAACCAAGGAAATTAAGCTCTAGAAAAAAAAAAAATCAAAACAAACAAACATACAAAAACCAGTTACTCTGGGGACAGGTGGGGTGGCACAGGCCTGTAATCCCAGCACTTTGGGAGGCCAAGATGGGCAATGGCCTGAGGTCAGAAGTTTGAGACCTGCCTGGCCAACATGGCAACACCCCGTCTCTACTAAAAACGCAAGAATTAGCTGGCAGTGGTGGCAGGTGCCTGTAATCCCAGCTGCTCAGGAGGCTGAGGCAGGAGAATCACTTGAATCTGGGAGGCTGAGGTTGCAGTGAGCCGACATCATGCCATTGCACTCCAGCCTGGGCGACAAGAGCAAGACTTCATCTCAAAAAAACAAACAAAGACCAGTTACTCTGTACTTGAGTTTTGAGGTCCTCAAAATAGTGTTCCCCATGTTCAAGTGGGAGTAAAGGATATTGAAAGTAGGAGGAGGCTGGGCACAGTGGCTCACACCTATAATCTCAGCACTTTGGGAGGCCGAGGCAGGTGGATCAACTGAGGTCAGGAGTTTGAGACCAGCCTGAACAACAGGGAGAAACTCCATCGCTACTAAAAACACAAAATTAGCTGGACGTGCTGGCATATGCCTGTAATCCCAGCTACTCAGAAGGCTGAGGCAGGAGAATCTCTTGAACCCAGGAGGCAGAGGTTGCAGTGAGCTGAGAGCACGCCACTGCACTCCAGCCTGGGCAACAAGAGCGAAACTCTGTCTCAAAAAAAAAAAAAAAAAAAAAAAAAGAGGAGGAGGAAAAGCAAGATAGTATAGAGGGAAGTGCTTCTGAACAGACTCATACAGAAGCCACAAGGTAGGTCCTCTAGCCTACCATCCTTCTCTTAAAGCTCAATCCACTTAAATGTTTATCTCTTTTGACCCAAAGACTCTCACTATGAATTTACCTTAAGGAAAAGCTATGTGCAAGAACTCATCCATGGCAGCATTACCTTTAATGGAGGAAAAATTGGAAACAACCTGAGTCTAAAGTCAAGGCCTAGCAGTAAATTACAAAGATCTGATAGAAGCATGGATAATGCTTATCATAGGGGAATTAGACAAAGAATATACCATCACAATCTTTTATTTTTTAGTTACGTTTTTGTTCTTATAATTTTCTCCACTTTTTAAAGTCAAAACATTTTAAAAGTATTTTCCTTAAAATGCAAGTATCAGCTGAGCGCAGTGGCTCGCACCTACAATACCAGCACTTTGGGAGGCCGAGGCAGGCAGATCACTAGAGGTCAGGAGTCTGAGAACAGCCTGGCCAACATGGTGAAATCCCATCTCTATTAAAAATACAAAAACCAGCTGGGCGAGGTGGCAGGCGCCTGTAATCCCAGCTACTCAGAAGGCTGAGGTAGAATAATCATTTGAACCTAGGAGGCGGAAGTTTCAGTGAGTCAAGATTGTGCCACTGCACTCCACTGTCTCAAAAAAACAAAAACAAACAAACAAAAAAACCCAAAAAACTAGCTTTCCCCAAAATCCCTTCTTTTCTTCATAACCTATTGACTACTTTCTTTTCACTGGAAAATGAGGAAAGCAGAAGAAAATCATGAGTGTGACAAGAAAATGATTAAAGAGATTTCTGGTGTGGCTTGAAGAAATGAGCATCAGGTGTTCACAGTCATTCACACTATAATATGGGCCTAGAGAGAACCGGAGGGGAGTGAATTCCTCACAGTTTTGAAAGACGTAACGGTTCATACAAGATGGACATGTCCATGGATGAAAACTCTTCACAAAAAAAAAAAAAAAAGAAAACTCTTCACAGTTTTCAGAAATTTAGATCTTAACCCAAGTATAGTGGATATTTAAAATACTGTAATTACAGTATTTTAAAATATCGTAAAGTCTCTAAAAAGTCCTATAACCCATAAAAAGAACTATCTGTAATTATGAATTAAACACCAACATCTATCCTGAATTTACATAGGCTCTAAAAACAAGAAGTACTAATACTGCTAACTTTGAGACCTTCTGCCTTATATTTAATCCAAAACATTTATATACTTTAAGATATTTTCTTGTGTTTTGGCCTCAGAGAATGCAAAGGGTCACTGGCTGCCCGTAAGCCTGTGTAGTGATACTTCCTATACTAGGAAGGTGATTATGCTTTAATAAAATAGAAGTCCTTTATATGCAGTTTTCTGAAGCAATCTTTGGAGATGGGTTTACTAACTCTCACAGTTCCTTGCAGTATATATATACGGACTTAAATGAATTATCTAAGTTCAGCTGAGGATTCCAAATACACAAAGCCCAGAAAACCTGGCTGCTGGTCTCATGCTATTAACTCATAATGTGACTGATCTCAGCTACCCAATTCATGCACCTGCCAGACATGACTGATAATAACAATCCACCTTGATTATTATAGGTAGCTGAACCCAGGTTTAAAAGAAATCAACTTTAAATACATTCCACAATGCTTTACAGAAGCAAAACAAAAACAAGCAAACAAAAAACAAACCAGAAAAATCAAAATTATTAAAAAGCTGATTTTTGCTTAAAACACCAAGCAAGAAATGGACATATGAATATTCCTAACCTGCAAAATGATTCCTCCACATTATATCAGCGAAACTCATTGGTGGGCCACTGGGAGGGTAGTGTTTACCTTTCAGAGGCTCATGATCAGTCCTTATCATATCCATTAAGGAGTTCTCCAACGAGTGCAAGTTAAAAGTATCATAGGGCCTACTCCGGTCCTAAAAATAAAAACAAAAACAAGACAATACATAAAATTACTTCATAAAATTAACACCATATCATTTGCTTCCTGCTGTGGAATGATGACATGAATGAAAGTTACAGAAAGCCCTAATAGCATACAGTCCTTCTTTTTATTTGTTTATTTATTTATTTACTTTGTAGAGATGGGGTCTTGCTATGTTTCCCAGGCTGGTCTCGAATGTCTAGGCTCAAGCAATCCTCTTGCCTTGGCCTCCCAAAGTGCTGGGATTACAGACATGAGCTACTGCGCTGATCCTGCTCTCTTCATTAAGAATAATGACTTGTCACACCTGTAACCCCAGCATTTTGGGAGGCCAAGGTGGGCAGATCACTTGAGGTCAGGAGTTCGAGACCAGCCTGGCCAATCGGGTGGAACCTCACCTCTACTAAAAATGCAAAAAGTAGCCAGGTGTGGCGGTGCGCACCTGTAATCCCAGTTACTTGGGGGGCTTGAGGCAGGAGAATCACTTGAACCTGGAAGGCAGAGGTTGCAGTGAGCCGAGATCATACCACTACACTCCAGCCTGGATGACAGAGCAAGACTCCATCTCAAAAAAAAAAGGAATAATGATTTGGCAACATTAAGTTTAATACAAGTCTCCATAACTAATTAAATTGCATCATCTCCCCTAATATTCTATAACGTAACGTAGTTCAGAGTGACTTTCTTGCAAATGAACTAAAATAGTAAATTTAAAAGGAAGAGTCAAGTTAATTGGTTTTGCTTTCTACCCTCCACCCAATAAATTCATTGTCAAATGAACACAGATGTTTCCCCCCTAGAGGAAGACCGTAATTTTTTTTTTTTTTTTTAAGACAAGGTCTTGCTTTGTTGCCCAGGTTGAAGTACAGTGATGCAATCATGGCTCACTTCAGCCCTGACCTCCTGAGCTCAAGCGATCCTCCCACCTCAGGCTCCCTAGTAGCTAGGACACATGTCGCCATGCCTAGCTAATTAAAAAAAAATTTTTTTTTTTTTTAGAGATGGGGTCTCACTATGTTGCCCAGGCTGGTCTGGAATTCCAGATTGCAAATGATAAAGACCACAATAATTAAGAACTCAGATGGAATCATTTTCCTGAAAAACTAAAGGGCGACTATAATTTCAATGAAAATGTACTGGATATCTTTAACATTTCTGACCACTAAGTTACATATATGGATACACTTTTTAAAAATAAAAATGTGGCTGGGCGCAGTGGCTCACGCCTGTAATCCCAGCACTTTGGGAGGCCAAGGCAGGCAGATCACAAGGTCAAGAGATTGAGACTATCCTAGCCAACATGGTGAAACCCTATCTCTACTAAAAATACAAAAATTAGCTAGGCGTGGTGGTACGTGGTACATGCCTATAATCCCAGCTACTCAGGAAGCTGAGGCAGCAAATTGCTTGAACCCAGGAGGCGGAGGTTGCAGTGAGCCAAGATCACGCCACTGCACTCCAGCCTGGCGACATAGCTAGATTCCATCTCAAAAAGTAAAACTAAAAAATAAAAATAAAAATGTGTTTAAAGTTGTATTCATGAAGACAATGGCAAAAAGAAAAAAAAAAATTTAATGTGCCCAAAGTACTAAAATTACCTTTTGAAAAGCACTCACACGAAGAAACTTTAACCCAAAGAAGTATTTTCAAGATGTTACATTCAAAAACATTTTGAAACTAGAAATCTAACACAAAGTAAAGAAAAAAGTGTGATTTCACCACATTTCACTCAAGCCTTCAAGAGACTATCACCTACAAACTCTTCTTAGTACTCTGAGCCTCAAGGGAAGCATAGCTCATGTTCTAAGTTAATACTAAAGAACAGATCAAGTTTGCTTTGGTTAAGAAAAGCAAGACAAGCATACATCTCAACAACCAAACCAAGTCAATCTACAGTGATGAGAGATTATTTTCAGGGTCTTGAACAGTCTTTTCCAGCTTTGCATTTGATCATTTATCCTCTTCTATGGACAACACTCACCCATTACCTATCTCTCCCCTTGGATAGGAAAGAGACATGGAATATTTTCTTTGGTTCTCTACTTTGGTCTCTATACAATCTAAAAAGGTCTTTTCTTTTAGATTTAAAGTCTTCCTGCAGATCATTTGTTTTGCTTTGGGTTCAAGTTATTAGTGGAAACTCTAAGGAGTAAAGCTGAATTTCCAGAAACGCAGGCTTATCTGTACCCATAAGAGTGTCTATCATATACTTCGTCCAAAGAAAAAGCCAGAGGTAAAGAAGCATACTGATGAGGAGGCAAAATGATAACCTATTTCTGGCACTAACAATCCCAAAATGAATTATCTAGGAGCCCTCTATCACATCCACACTTCTTACTAGAACTCTGAAGACATAAGAGTGTTTCAGAATAGACTGACATGGTAAGGGAACTATAAGAAAAGGCTATTTGAAGGCATACAAGAATCTTTCCAGACAGGACAGTTTATTTTTTCATTTAATTACTGATAATCCCTCAAGGTAGATAACAACATACTCATTTTACACATGAAGAAGGCAAGGTTCAGAGAAGATTCAAGAGCCCTCAATGCCAAAACATAAGGAGTATAAAAATCTGGCCAAAGAAATTAATTAAATCCATGGTTACTTCTATAGAAAAACTGCACTGTAACTAACTGCACATTCCTGCCAATGTAACAGTGAGTTCCTACCACAAATGGATATCAGACATTAGATGACTACCTGTCAGGAAAATTAAAAGAAGATTTTGGGAGGAGGGATTCATGTAACTAAACTGAAATGGTTCCCAAACCTGTCAGACTGTCAAAAATCACATGTAGAGCCGATTAAAACACAGATTCCTGGGCTCCAGCTCAAACCTACTTAATCATAATTTAAAACAAAATAAATTCTATGACTGGCTAGAGCCACTAAGCTGGATGATTCTTCAAGTTAAGCCTTTACACCCATGATTCTGTTCAGTAAAATTAGACAGTAAAGTGAGGGCAGGGACCAGTGTGAGCAGCAGGCAATAAACAAGCCTGGCCACCTTGCAGAGGGTCAGTTTTGCAGTCTTCTGATTTACTGTGTATTAGAGAAGCAGTTGGTGACCTAGTTTTTAAAAGCACAAATTTTAAAATCAAAATCCAATTTTCAAATTTTGGCTCTCCCACTTACTGGCATGTCACTTTGAATATGTTTCTAAGCCTTGGTTATCTTCATCTACAAAATGGGATAATTTTTCGGGTGCGGTGGCTCATGCCTGTAATCCCAGCGCTTCAGGAGGTCAGGGCAGGCGGATCATGAGGTCAGGAGATTGAGACCATCCTGGCTAACATGATGAAACCCCGTCTCTACTAAAAATACAAAAAATCAGCCAGGCATGGTGGCATTTGCCTGTAGTCCCAGCTACTTGGGAGGCTGAGGCACAAGAATTGCTTCAACTGGGGAGGCAGAGGTTGCAGTGAGCCGAGCTCACGCCACTGCATTCGGCCTGGGGAACAGAGCAAGACTCTGTCTCAAAAAAACAAAACAAAACAAAAAATGTAGCCAGGTGTGGTGGCAGGTGCCTGTAATCCCAGCTACTCGGGAGGCTGAGGCAGGAGAATCACTCAAACCCAGGAGGTGGAGGTTGCAGTGAGCCTAGATCATGCCACTGCACTCCAGCCTGGGCAATACAGTGAGACCCCATCTCAAAAAAAAAAAGAGGGAGGGATAATTTTCTCTTCACGGTTTCTTCAGTACTAAATAACAGAACATACAGGCATCTGCACCATGGTGGCTACCATAATATTAGGGAGAGCACAAAAAGATTTCTGTGATGCCATCTCAAGAGTACTGAAAAATGAATTTTTAAACCTAGCAGTTCACAGATACTAACCTAACAGGGTTCACTAATGCTCAACAGATGAAAACATATGACATGTGAAAGGCATGACAGAATTTACACAGGCTTAATTAAACAAACTTCAGGCCTCTAAGAGTTCTCACTAAAATTAATTCCATCCATGCCTCATCAACTTAAATTTGCCGCATACCATTCATCCTTTTTGTTTTAGAAGTAGCAAACGTTGCTGAAATAAGTGATTAACCAGGAAGTCTGCAAGAAACAGAACAAAAAGGATAAAAAAAACAGAAAAATCTACAGTGGAATTCATCAACAGAAATTATGTATACAGAAAATTCAGCCACAATTTATCATTCAATGACAAAGGTTACAAGTGGTAACTAACCTGTTAGGTCTTTTTTCATAAGTTTTGTTTCCCAATATAGAGAAACAGGAAAACATCATTATTTGTTTTTAACAAGCAAACACACCAAGAAGTATTAGAACATCTATAAATAATGCAGCCCATTATTGACTTTCTTTGCAGATAATCAATGAAGATGTTGTCAGTTAGTTGTACACAGAACAGCTCACCTCCACTGCATTAGTCCTCTCTTTCTTCCCTCAGCTGGATTTAATATTAATAAATTTATCAAGCATTTAATATGTGCCTGTCACTGTTCTAAGTATGCTTATGCATTATCTCACAGCCCTATTAAGTAGGTAGCTTCTGTCCCATTTTATAAATTAAACAATTAAGTCGCTGGGTGCGGTGGCTCACGCCTGTAATCCCAGCACTTTGGGAGGCTGAGGTGGGTGGATTGCAACATCAGGAGTTCAAGGCCAGCCTGGCCAACATAGTGAAACCCCATCTCTACTAAAAATACAAAAATTAGCCGGTGTGGTGTCACATGTCTGTAGCCCCAGCTACTTGGGAGGCTGAGGCAGGAGAATCGCTTGAACCCAGGAGGCAGAGGCTGCAGTGAGCCAAGACCACGGCATTGCACTCCAGCCTGGGTAATAGAGTGAGACTCCATCTCAAATAAAATAAAATAAAAATTAAGTCTGGGAGAGAATAAATAACTGGCTCAAGGTTACAGGGATAGTGAGTGGCAGAGCCAGGGCTCAAATCCAGTCAAATCCAGACTGCTCTTAAGCATTCTCATTGTACTGCTTCCCTGACCTCCTCCTATTCCGTCTAGCCTTA